ATTTGGGGCACAAATGCCACAATTTCTGTGGCACTGCCCGGCTGCAGCAGCGTAACACGGTGCAGATCCCCGGCCGAACTTTGCTTTGCTTCCAGCAGCATCGGTACGAGCGACTTGCCGTGTCATTCCTCCCCCAGGCACCCCRGCTGCAACATTCCACTTGGGTTTCAATTGCCTGCTTCAGATCCACCCTAAATCCGAGGACGGATTATACCTGTGCTTTGCCACCGCATTGCCAAATGCAAAACTGTAATTAAGTTTTAACTCGCTAATAAATTATTAGTATATTTTCTGCCATGCACAATAAATTACTCTAAGCTGAAAGCAAGGACAAATTTGACTTAATGGCACACAAAGATGATCCTTCACTGTGGAGAGGATGATGCTTCAGGTAAGAATGTTGTCTTTAATTACGGCCTTGCACTATAGGATGCCCCAAAGTGCATCACTTCATGAATGCCTATCTAAAAATAAAAACAGAGATAAGATTYTGAGCTTAGTGTTCTTCCATTTCTCTTTGCATGAAACTTCATCCCTGGGAAGGAAAGGAGTTGAAATCCAGCAATGTCCCATCCAGCCACATGACCTCTTTATTTCGGGCTGCTGGCATTAGAAGGGTCGAGGTGGTACAAGACAAGCCCTTGTGTGACCTTCCTCCTCCTCCTCTCACCCCACAAATGGCAGTGCATGTGAGAGGAGGTGGGAAAAAGCAGGAGAAGGTGGGTCCAGGAAATGCCATTTCATTCCAGGGCAGCAGCACAGCCTGTCAGGGGCTGGGAGCTGAAATTCATAGAATCACAGAATATGCTGAACTGGAAAGCACCCATGAGGATCATCAAAGTCCAACTCTTTGCCCTGAACAGGAGTCCCCAGGCAGTGACTTGGACCCAACTCTGCCCATCGGGGCTGCAAACATTATCTCTTATCCACAACGGTGCACGAGAGTACAGCTTAGGCAGATTTGGCCAATGCCAGGATCTCTTTCTATCCCTGCAATGCTGCCCCATATCCTCAGCAGCTTCCCCACTCCCACCTCACCAGCACAACAGCCCCAGTCTGACCCCCCTCACACTGCTCCTTGTTCTTAATAAAATTTCCATGACTGTTTCAGACCCGCACTCCGGAATCTCAGGGGATGTTTGTGCATGACATCACCCTCCCCCTCCTGTAAATCAGGCACTGGGCCATGTACAGCCATGACCCATTCATGACAGGGATAAAATCCAGATGTTCCAGTGCTACGTGCAGCTGGGTCATTTCCTTTTTTGGCTAAAAACGTGAGGCTCTGGAGGCTGACTGAAAGAGGAGCCTGGGGGCCCTTTGTACAGAAACCTTTTGCGGTTAATCCCTGGAAATAGCACTGCAGAAAGCCTGGGTTGTGCTGCTGCTGMAGGACAGGCTCAGCTAAGAACTCAGGGCTGGAGCTGCTCACTCACTCTCCAAAGCCCAGTGCAACACCAGAGCCCAGCCCTGGTTACAGGGCAGCAACAGCAACAAAAATTGTGCCAGAACTCTATCAGTCACCAGAACAGGAGCCTYTGAAGCAGCCAGGAATGTGCACACGCTGAGCCAGTGCCATGGTGCTGCAGAGAGGCACCCCATGGGCTGTGGCCATTCTGCCACTGGAGCAAAAACCAGGGTGCAGCAGGCTGCTGGAGTCTGAGCAGGAAAAGTCCAGAGGAAGCCATGGCAGCTGTTAGTAAATGTAAAGGATCTGTGGAAAATAGTTTCATGTGTTAGGGAATAAATGGCTCCCCAGCTGATCAACGTGAGTAATGAGCACGGAGCACTTCAGGGAAGGCTGCCAAGAGGGACCACGGATACCGTGGCTGGAGGCTACAGCAACATCTACCCGAGCCCCCTTGGAATGCCACTGCATGGCCAGGCAGTGCACACTGCAGGGCAGGGAGTCTGGTCTGCACGGCAGGAACGGTTTGGTAGCGCAGCAATCTGGACAGTCCCACAGTGATCTGGACAGTCCCACAGC